TTTCAATAAACACCCATTTCCTGGCAAGTCAATACTTGCCAGGAAATGGGTGTTATTTTATAACATCATAAAATCTTCAGGGAATATGAAAACTTCCCTGGTTTGGCCCATCTAAAAATAAATAAAAATTCCCAACAAACATACTCCGGGTATCGAATTGTCGTAGTACAAAAAAGTAAATAAACAGACCCGAAGTGAACTGTACTGTAACCTCTTTTGATAAAAAATAAATATCACACAGACTTTTGACATTAGCTATACAGCTACTGTACATTGATAGATAGAACAGAGTCGATTTCACTGAACATAAGTAACTGACCTCGTTTGGATTACAAAAGATAATTGCATTCATCCTGAAAACGTTTGCAATTTCTTACCTAATTTCCTTCAAATAGTTTTTTCTACTCGCTTCATGGCTTGTTAGGTTCTTTTTTCAAAATTGCGCAGGAATATTAGTGTACACTGCCGTGATTTTATCGCGTTATCAGTCCTGTGATTATGTTTGCTATCTGTTAATGTTATCAAATAATGAGACAGATTTTGTGTTTAAGGATGTCGGATATATTTAGCGAATTAACTCACCTTGTGAGTTCAATGTTTTTTTTTAATTATAGCAACATCAATGTCATACCCATTTTTGCTATTTATGTTATGAGTCCCACATAAAAAAGACCATATTGATTGAAAATGTAAGACCAAATTCTTACTTCCCTTCAGCAGTCACACTTGCAACCACTTGTCCAACGTTGTTGGTTAAATGTAAATTCATTTTATCATTTTTGGTAACCTGAAACTTTTTATTTATGGCAAATAATCGAAACTTACTGATTAGGCACACCACATTCCTACTATAACAAAAAGTCATCAGAACAATTAATAGTGATTCTCAAAGTAGCTGTAATTAACCAAATCCAATGCGTATTTATAAACAATATTTTGTTATTCAAATGTGTGTTTTCATTGTTTTACCAGGCGTGCAAGCGAGTTCCGCATCACATACGGCGACATGCGATCAACGCACGATGATGTGGACACGTTCGAGCACATTCTCAACGTGACGTCACATAATGAAGCACTGCTCGCTTACTATTACCTCGACAGTGAAAATAAGGTAAATTTTATGCTATTTGTATTCAGCTAACAACAAGAGCCTTTGGTTGCAGAATGTAAGCAACTCTTAGACGATGTCCTTAGATTTTTTGCTCACTAGATGGCGGTAGCGCTAATGTAGCATGAGTTTTATTATTTTGACCTAATCACTGTAACTTAAAAATTGAATATCTAATATTTGTTACCTACCCGACTGTTTCCGGGAGCCTTCAACAAGTACTCACCTAGACTACTTTGCTTTGATTTATCTAATCACCTACTCCGATGCTGTTGAAAACAAACAACAAACTCATCACAACAATACCAGTGACACATACAACCCCTTGTTAAATCGTAGCATCTTTCCGCTTGCAAATATCCCGTCCCGAGTGATTCTAATTAGCATACTTGACCCGCACTATCGGCGGCCAATGGCGTGCGCGGTTCGACTGAATGACGTGAGCAATGAGCATCGTACGACATACAACATAAGGAGACCGCACGCATAGGGTTATCGCTGATAATCATGATCGAGAGAAAAAATATATTCATTCTATAATGACTTTTAAAGCCAGCAACACCATTTTGTCATTAGTACATGCACCAACTCTTACATTGTGATTGCTTCTTGTCTATGCAACAAGGATATTGAAAATGAAATATAGCCATTTTATTTAATGGACGTCAATTCGGTCAAACCGTTAAATATGGTTATAAATCTTAACATGGCGTGGTGCAATTTAATATTACTCATAAACTATATTATGCAATTTATGACTCATTAATATATGACACTAAAGTTTATTTTGAAAGAGATAAAGTGATAAACAAGCATTTAGAAGAGATAGGAAAATTAATACCACCTATTCTAACAGTTGCCCTAATAGGATACTAAAACCATGCCAGAGCTTTAATGAAAAATAAAAAGCAATAAAATCGTAGTGCCTAGGGATGATTTTAATCTGGAAATCGCAATTCCTTGCGTTGTTAAAACTCCAATATATCAATAAGAAAATAATAAATGTTTACAGAAAGTTATCGTCTTAAAGTAGATATTTCGAACTTCGCTCTACTTGTGAGTAATAGTATGTATCGTTGGCTTGGGCCGTAAATACGATAGCGGTGTCTTTGTTTATTTGTAATTGTGATCACACGTCACACTTTTGCGCCATTTCTGTAATAAATAAGTCCAAACTAATTGTGACGTATGCTTAACACTTTATCTAAGTAAAGTCCAAAAATATTTATTTGAAAATTCCCCACCATTTTCTTGATTTTTTTCACCCTAGCTTATATTTTTAATTAGCTTAGATATTTATACTTTCCGATAGAACATATTGTGTTCTTTACTTTTTATAGTTTTTAATTTTGAATTACCTCGGCTCAGATTTAAAAGGTTAGAAAAAAGTTTTGAAGGCGGTACGAAGTTTGCCGAGTCAGCTAGTTAGCATATTGATTACAAAAATACATGTAGTGTAGTGTTAAAACATTCCTATTTTTTTTTTTTGTTTGATATGCGTCTTTTCCTAATTCCTTTATGCGTGTAACTTTTACATTTATACTATACTCGTGCATAAATGAAAACAGCTACCTAATTGCATGTAGGTACGTTATATTACGAAGGATAAATTATAGATACACGAGTGATACGTACATAAATAATATATAATACTATAGCTAGGTAGGTACCTATACCTAATAAATTATTCAGTTTATCGCAATGTACGTAAGGATTGTTTGTACGTCCTCAATTGGAATGCAATTAGTACACATTCAATTGTTTATTGATTTCGTTTTGTAAGTAAACTGACGAAGTTTACACATGTGAGGTAAACAAACATTGTCAGAACAACAATATGTACTGGTTTCTATGTGGTATTGGTATGTCAAGTTGTAGAATAGTGATAAGTTTGAGGTAAAATTATTTGAAGAGCATAGCAGCTCATCCCTTTTACTCTTAAATCATTCACGTAGAAACCAAAACAAAATTTACGTTAAAAAATTATAACTATGTATACTTCTTTCAATCCTTACAAATATTAATCGGAAAGTGAGTTTGTTTGTTTGTTCCGCTTTCACGCCGTAACTACTAAACCGATTGCTTTGAATTTTTGCAGACGTAAAGTTAGAAGTCTGGATTAAATAATAGG